AGGCAGGAAATATATAATCAACCATGACAGGTGCGTTTTGTTTTGAGGTATGTAGAGAGGGATCTCTTAAAGGACTTTAGGCTTAGGGAAGATTTTAAATTGTGCGGGAGGTCGTTCCACAATTGCGGTGCTCTGTAGGAGAAGGAGGATTGGGCTGCTTTCTTTTTGTATTCAGATAGACTAAGTAAAGTGTTGGTACTGGATCTGAGGTTATAGGAAGTGGGAACAGCTGAGGAAAGCTGTTCAAGTATGGTGGAAGTTTTCCAGAAAAGCTCTTAAACACAAGGCTGGAAAGATGAAGGGTGTATCTGGATTCTAGCGACAGCCAGTTTAGTTCTTTTAGCATGTCACAATGGTGAGTCCTGTAATTAAATTATAGCACAAATCGGCAGAACGAGTTATACAATGTGTTGAGTTTATTAATGTGGGATTGCGATGCAGATGCATATACTACATCCCCATAATCAATGATTGGCATCAGCATTTGCAGTACAATCTTTTCCTTTACTGTAGGGCTTAGGCAGGATTTGTTTCTGTACAGGGCACCTAGTTTTGGATAAAGTTTAGATGCAAGCTTTTCTATGTGCAGGCCAAAAGATAGATTGGGGTCTAACATCATACCCAAGTATTTGAAAGAGTGGACTGCGGTCAGTGTGCCATTTGTGTTTTGATGGATAGGTGGGAATTGTGTAATTTGTGTAATTTAGGTACTGTTCCAAAGATCATTGTGACAGTTTTGTCAGTGTTCAGGAAGAGTTTGTTTTTTGTGATCCCCTTTTCTACCTATGTAAACTGATCTTGGAGTACAGCCTCAAGCTGCGGTAGAACGGATTACCTTGTCATCTACGTACATGTGTACATTTGAGGATTTGCAGACATTAGGCAGATCATTTATAAATAATGTAAATAGTAGGGGGCCGAGAATGGAACCTTGGGGAACACTACATGTGACTGGAAGGGGAAGGGAGTCGCTGTCAGAAATGGACACATACTGAGAGAGATCCTATACATAAGATCGAAACCAGTTTAGCAAACGATCACCAATACCTGAGTTGTAGTAAGGGTTCAAGGGCTAATATAAAGAAAAGGTGGGATAAAGGGCATCCCTATTGCGTTCCATTTTTGAGGTCAAAGGGGTGTGGTGTTGTTCCAGGTATCAGTGTCTGCACTCTGGGGTTTGTGTATAGGGTGTGAACTGCATTGCCAAATGTGTCCAGAAGGTGCATTTTGCATAGTAGCATAAACAGGTAAGGCCATAAGACCACGTCAAACACCTTCTCTGCATCCAGGGAGAGGATCAGCGTAGGTGTTTGCTTCCTCCTGGCCCTCCTTATGAGATCTGCAGCTCTCCGTGTGTTTTCATATAACTGTCTTGTGGGAACAAAGCCCACTTGGTCGGCGTGTATGTATCTGGTGAGAAGTGGATTCAGTCGGTTGGCTAGCAGTTTAGTGTATGCGTTGAGGTCAAGATTTATGAGGGATATGGGCTGGTGGTGGGCAATATGTGTGTTATCTCTGTCTGGTTTGGGGATAAGGGTTATGTCTGCTGTCGAGAGGTCTTGGTGTGGTGTTTCTCCCTCTGTCCATTGTTTGTACATTTTAGTTAGGTGTGGTGTGAGTTCTTCTTTAAAGGTCTTATAATATGCGCCATCAAATCCGTCAGGTTCCAGGGCCTTGTTCCCCTTGAGCCCTGTGATAGCTACTACTACTTCGTCCAGTTTTATGGGCACTCCTAGAGGCTCTATCAGGCTTGTGGAGAGTCTCAGGAGTTGGGCCTTGTTTAGAAATGTCGTGAGCTCTTCCATTTACGCATTGTTGGCTTCTGTCAGGATAGGGGAGTGGTTGTATATCTTGGCAAAGAATTGTGTGAACTCGTCATTGACGTCTGTGGGGTTGGTAAGGATCATTCCTTGTGTGTTTATAATGACTATTAGTGAGATCTTATTTGTTTTGGGTCATAAGGCTCTTGCTAGGAGAGTGTCCATTTTATTGGACTTCTCGTAAAAGAGTCTTTTCGTGTGGCGTATGTTGTTGCTGACTTTGTCAACCATCAATTCCCTGATCAGTCGTCGAATTTCATGTAGGTCTCTTGTTGTGGTTTGTGTGGCTGTTTGTTTGTGTTGCAGTTCCGTTTTGTGTAGTTTCTTTTGTAATTCCATTAGTCTTTCGTATTTTTTCTTTTTATGGTATATAGCCAGTTTTATGAGGAGGCCTCTGATCACAGGCTTATGGGCCGCCCAGAGGGTTGTTAGGGAGATGTCAAGGGTATCATTAGTTTAAAAGTAGTGTGCGATCTCTTGCCTAATACTCTCCTGTATCTATGGGTTCTTAAGGAGGGAGGCGCTCATCCACCACTTCCAGGGTGTGAGGGTCCCAGTGGTTTTTAGAGTGATCTCTATGTCTGCATGATCTGACCAGGAGATTAAGTTTATCATGGTGGTATTGACCCATTGCATGCCCAGCCGGTTCGTGAGGAAGAAGTCTATGCGGGAGTAGGTGGCATGGGGGCAGAGTAGAATGTGTAGTCACACTTACTTGGGTGTTGGATTCGCCACGGATCCAACAGTCCTGTGTTAAGTATGAATTTGTGCAGAAGTTTGTCCTGTCCCCCTCTGTGTTGTGAGCGCGGGAGGTGTTGTCCTCCTCCCTGGTCTGACGCCGGGCAGGGTGTCGCATTAAGGTTCCCTCCCAGTATCCAGATTCCCCTCGGGAGGGTGTGTACCATTGTTTCGAGGTCTGTCCAGAACTCTGGTGTGGGGGAGTTTGGTGCATAGACATTCACAAGGTGATATGTGTTGGAGTGGAGTGTGCCCGACAGTACTACGTACCGGCCTTCTAAATCGGTTTGTACGCTAGTAACCTGTATAGGGGCCTGTGATGTGTATGCTCTTGTGTATATGTGGTCTGTTAGGCTTATTCGTGAGCTGCGTGTTATGTGTGTCTCTTGCACGAATGTGATGTCGGCCTTATGGCGTCGTATTTCTCTCAAAAGTAGTCTGCGTTTAGTGGGTATATTTAGCCCGTTCACGTTCAGTGAGGTTATTTTTAAGTCCATGTCTCGTTGTGGAGTAGTGTGTGTCGGCTTACCCAACTTGAGACGGGTTGTCAGTCTATTCCGTGCTCCTGACGGGACCCGTGCCGTCCACCCCGGCAAGTGTGTCCTTGAGGCCTAGCCTTTGCCAAGGTCTGGGAGTGTGGGTTGGGCGGGTGGGAGAAGCGGAAGGGGACGTAGAGTGGGTAGAGAGGGGTAGGGATAGAAAAGTGAGAGGTTATAGTGGGGATACAACCTACGAAAAGCAGATGTACAAGTTAAATATGCAAGCCAAGATACCGTTGTGAACAATCTAGGTTCACCGTATGCTCAATGTAGTAAATCAATCGGTAAATTTATCTGGTTCTTACCAGTCGCCAGGAGCTATAGGGGGTTGGCGTCCACCGCGCTGAGGGTATCTCCTCTAATGGGGGGAGGGAAGCTCAGCCGGTATGCACCCTGGCGAGGCTCAAATAATGTATGAACAACCTGTGCTTTCTGGTCAATGGGAGGGGACGGGGGAGTCCACCTGTTTCGTTCCTGCCTGATCGGACATTCTGCATTTCTGTCTCAGTTTTCCACAAGTCTGGTGGGGGGTTTTCATGTATGATTTTCATGTGTGATTTTACATTTTGTGGGGGAGGGGAGGGGGGCGACGTCGGTTATGTTGGGGCAGGGTTGTCGTCAGTGTCTCGATGTCTCTGCCCCTGTAACTGTGCGTCGAATTTCCTCTGTCAGTCTTTGTACGCTGTGTGCAAACAGGGGGGATGTCTGTGATGTACATTTCCTTGTAGTTAGCTACAGGGCTGGGCTACTCATTTTGCTTAGTGGTCTCGTGGGGGAGTCGTGTCCCGGGGTTGAACCCGTGTGGGCTGTCCCTGCTAGTATATGTCCGCGTCCTCCCCTATGGTACCTGCTTGGCCTTGTGTCAGTGGAGGCGTGGCTTCTAGGGGGAACGTCACCATCGGGGCGGGCCCATCCACGTCAGTATCTTAATGTTGCTCGCCCAAGTTTAAGTGGGTGTCCCAGGTCTCGTGACCCGAAATTCCCGCTCTTTTAGTAGTTGCACTATTAAGCTGATAAGGAAGTTAAATGCATTGATTGTGCATCCTAAATGTGGAATGCATCATTTTCCCACATCCTCCCCTTTCCACACATAACATGCAGCTCAATGGGTATAATCACTTTTAAGTTGTTTTTTTGGGGGGGGGGGGACCCCCCCCCACCCCTCTGTAGGCAACCTTTCATCTTCTATATCATAGTTACAGGCAGTAATGGTAATCTCTTTCATTACAGTATAATGTGATACAGGCGTGGTGTTTAGGAGGGTATGTGTGTGGTAAGCTCCTATTTTCAGGTGCAATTAGGCGTTATTGCCTATGTGCAACCCCCCTTCTTCCCAGGGTTCGGTGGTCAGTAGGCCTGTGGTGCCTCTGTTTCCTTCCCCCTGAGCCCCAGTGGTAACACAGTAAGCATTATATTAATAGTAACTCCATGCCAATAGGCAGCAACTTAAGGCAACAACATAAAAGTAAACAAATAGAATGTTAGTTAACGTGTGTTCGGGTTTGTATAATACATTACTGTATGTCCACGTTTCAGGCCGGTCGGGAGTTGTGGTCCTCCCAGCTATCAGGTAAAGGTGGCAGTTCTTCTATGCCATTCGCCAGCAGTTGCAAGTCATCCGGAACCGTTATATCCAAGTCCTTCATAAAGTCTTGTATGTTTGTCGTGGGTAACAATATTGCTGGTGTAGGGCCTTGGAAGACTATGATCTTGAAGGGGTAGCCTCATGCAAATCGAATCCCTTTCTGCCGCAGTAGATCCGTAACTGGTTTCCATGCCCGTCTGCGAAGGAGTGTTGCTGGAGCGATGTCCTGGTACAATTGAATTTCAGCCCCTTCATGTTTAAATGGTCGTGTTCTGTTGTGCCTTAGTATGGCTTCTTTCGTTGTGAAGTAGTGCCATTTCATAATGACATCCCTTGGCTGGTCTTCGGGCCTTTGACCCTGAGGGCTCTGTGTGCTCTATCAACCAGCCATAGGTGGTCTGGTATGTTTGGCAGGCTTTGGCGAAAGCAATGTATAAGCACAGATTCTATGTCTTCCTCCTTCACTGTATCTGGGAGGCCTAGTATACGCAGATTATTGCGTCGCGACCTGTTGGAGATGTCCTCCAGTTCTATCTCCAAGTTGGTGAATTTTTGCCGGAGGGTATTGGAAAGTTTTGCGGTGTCATTTTGTGCGGTGACCATCTGTTCCACCCTGTGTTCCGTTTCCGTTGTGCGGGCCCCAATGGCGGTGATTTCGGCCTTCACCTCCGCCGCTGACGCCAGGTATCCCTTCACTTCTGCAAGCGATTGGAGGATGGCGCGGGAAGAGGCTTCAGGGGCTGTGCTTGCAGCGGCGGCTGTGTCCAGGGAGCCAGTATCATTGAGACTGGTGTCGGCCACAGTGCCACGTGGCAACGGCCTCTGAGTTGTGAGCATTTCAGCCACTGATAGAGTGTCCTTGGGGCCTTTTTTGGTGGGTTTGCGGCTGGACATCCGTGGTAGGTCTATGTCTGCCTATGTCCTGCCTATAAAGACTTGGTCAACCAACTAACTTTACATTGGACATGCACAAGCATGGCAGACATTCAATTCTGCCCAATATTATGACAGTCTGCTTATTGAAATCTATGTCTGCCTATGTCCTGACTATAAAGAATTGGTCAACCAACTAACTTTACATTAGATATACAAAATCAGGGCAGCCATTCAATTTTGCCCAAGCATATGGGCATAATTGAGTCCCTGACCTTCCTTCAATTTCGGGGCCTCCAGGTCAGGCCTGTGGACTCCTATACTTAATCTGGAAAGCATGAGTGGGACCCTGGGTATATAACTACATTTGTACCAAAGGGTGGAGAGGGAGCAAGCTTAGTGACATGAGCACAGTAATGGCTTGGCTTAAATTTTATTCTCAGTTATTAAATGTTACATACACACACACCACACCTCAGAAACAAGCGTATAGGGTTTTCTTCTCCTTACTCGACCCAGGATCCTCTTGGTCAGGGGTCATATATACCAAATGAGCTATATTTTTATAGGTGTTTCACTAGGTGAGTACACACCTCTTACGCAATTACATTGCAATACACTGCTGAGTGGTACATAATATTGAAGCTTACTGCTATTGTAGATCTTCCTTATCCTAGTCATAGTATTTACAATAGTCCATAATAGCCTGGTGAGTTCTAAGACCCGTTCTTTTTTTTAATATTTTGTTTTTGAGTAGATACATTTGGGTTTTGACCGGTTTTAATATAATTTAAAAAAGAAAAGGCATACATAATCATGACTATGACTATATATTCATCCTTTATTGTTCACTTGTCTTTCATGTGTTTGTTTATATACTGTATATTTATTGCTCATATCCAAAACTGTTTGCATATGTTTATGTCACTGTTACGCACACAATGTATGTACAATATGTGCCTAAGTTAAGAATGATTGACAAAAAAAAATGAGTATGATGTGTTTTGGATCAAAGAAAACTTTGATTATTTGTCTATCTACACCTTCCAAATTGATTAATTAATGCGTGCACGCTTTCCCTAGAAGTAATTCACACCGGAGACAAAGTTTCTGATCAGTGAAAAACCCAGGAATGCTTTATTGCCCGGAGTGGGGGCTCCTTCTTAAAGCAAAAATACGTCACAGTTTAAACATACAGTATACATTCACCAATTGGTTAACAGAGAAAGGGGCCTCTTGTTTAAACCCCCCTACAGAATGTAGTGTCATCATTACACACTTTTAGATACACGGAGAAAGGGGGAGTGAGTGGTATCTATCAGTTCTAAACCAATGATCCTCCATTTAGCTATATATGGCATATAGCTGTTAACTGGCACAAAGGTAGTGAGGCTAGCAGGATGTGAGGAATTTACATAGTAAACAGCAGCTGACCACATTGTAGGGGGGGAAGGGAATATTTACTCTAGAAGCCAGTTTTAACATAGTGAACAGAGAATAAATAGACATTAGTAAATAGCCATTTTATTTTAATTCATCTGTCCATAACAGTCCCCCCTTAAAATGGCAATTTTTACTAAAAACTACTATCTCTCATTCTAATACTGTCCCTATAGAAAAATAACAAAAGGCTATCTTGCACATCTGTCTGAACAGGCCTCGAACACTTCACTGCGCGGGTACCCCATAGCAGCTTGTCCACTACTTCTCCCGCGGCAGACTTCTGCCCGTAGAGACAGACGCTATCCCTAAATGTCCTTAAGAGGAAGTAGCTGTTGATTTAGTGCGGTGGGACTGTAAGGGTGTATGTGGTGTATCACGGTCGATATCGTCAATCTCTTGGTGAAGGAAGGTCGGGGTGGTCTGGTCGATTGCCTGATCAACTGTTTTTTGTAGGCATTTCTTAAGACAGGGTAACACACAACAAACAAGAAGAGCGAGGATGATTATCGTTATTAAAATGGCAACACCTATTTGGGCCAGAGCACCTTGCCATTCAGACATCCATCCAAACCATCTTTCCCATGGATCTGTGGCCCCAGAATTTCGTTTCAGTTCATTGGACAAACTCTTTAACTTTTCTATTGCCAACGTTACCTTACCATTAGGGCCTGTATTATCTGGAATATAGGTACAGCATGTCATGGTGTCTGGGAGTATTTTACATACTCTCCCTTTTTCTGCTAAAATCATTTCCAAGCTTATTCTATTCTGGAAGGTCATCTGAGAGATAGTTTGTAACCGCCCTATCCCACCATATATCCCATAACAAGTATAGTTCCCGGGCTATATAGTAATGCCTTCGTCTGGGTTAATATTTTTAGTAATGATTGGGTATTAAGTTTCCATGACTCGCATGCTGACCGCTTAGGTTTAAATACAATGTAGAGACTTAAAACGCATACTTCATATCCGGAGGAAGGTTCAGGGATACTGTACCTGGGTGAGGCCTCGCTCCTCTGCAGACATAGCAGTTAGACTTGTTATGTTTAGTAGCATTGTATTTCATCCATTCAAGTCACAAGTTAGTGTCAGAGAAACCTGTCTCTACAGCCCTCTTATCCTCAAATATGGGATGACTACCATGTCTTTTAAAGTCCTAATGTGTGGTTTGAGGGGATTAACAGTCATGTGCGTGGCACCTACCCATTCAGCTGAGTCATACATGTCCTGTAAGAAAAAGGTCTCCTGTTTATTGTATAAACCTCTTCCCTTCCAATTCAGATTTTATTAGCCGTAATGCTTGGGAGAATAGATTCAAACTTAGTTTCTTACCTTAAAATTATTTGGTACCCCCCTTGACACCCCTATGGCATTAATATACATATATATGTATGTGTGGGTAAAACCACCCTTTATAGGGGTACTCCTTTTTGTCCTGAAGCATGAATGAGGTGTGTCAAGAGTACCTTGGGGATTGTCATGTGTTATGTGTATGGACATAATAACCTAGGCTAGGGCACATTTACTTATTCTTAGAAATCTTGTCTCATGCTACCCTAGTACTGGCAGATTCAGATCATTTAAACATTCAATATTAATATCACCACAAACTCAAGATAAGCAGATGATCTTGAAGAAGCTTTGACTGTGCGTATGGCACCTCAGACGTGAGGGCTGCAGGGTAAGGAGTATGTTTGTTTCTCTTTAGTTTCACGAGGTCCCCTTTTGGGGTATTCAGCTTTCCATCGATGGCAGGTGGTCAGGCATTATTATGGCCATCAAAACACCCACTTGTTGATATTTATTTATTTATTTTCAACAAGTATCTTTGTTCTCTAAGAATGGAGTTTCAAAAAGGGTTGTCAAGATCAACAAATGTTACTTCACATGATGCAGAGGCAGGCTTGATTCTGGAATGATGAACCCACGGGGTGATCTCTGTATCTTTCACGGTGCACTACTCAGCATGTGGTCTTGGTTATCACTTTGGTGGCTGGATAGGCCTCTGGCCATCCTGAAAACATGTCTGCTATAATTAGTGCATATTTGAATCAGCCATTCTTTGGCATTCTGGCGACTTGACTCCTCTGGAAGAGATAATGAGGTTTGGCTAGATGCTTGGGGCTTTCATCCATTCTTCTTGAGTTGCCCTTGGCACAAATGGCACAAGATTTACAGTAACTGTTGGTCAGAGAGGCAATTCCTGGTACTTCAGAGTATTTATTGATCAAAAGAGTTCATGAGGGTTCTGGACAGATGCTCCGTAGGCCCACTGGACCACTGCTGAGTATATGTTCTTGGGCAAGTAGAACTTGAGATTGTTGAAGTACAGCCTGTCTTTAAGAGTTGCCCCTTTCTGTTTCCAGCTTGTGGTTTGTTTGTTTTTTCTTTCTTTCCAGGGTCAGTAGCTTGCTTGTTATTCCTTCGGGAGCTTGATGTCTGTGGGTAGGATCTTACATGGTGAATATGGGAGTTTCTTCAGCAGACACTTTTCTGTCCACTTCCCTTAGTGCACTTACAACTTTTTGAACAACTTAGTCAGCCAGAGAGCTGCCACATGCTTCCTCTGAGTTCAGTCTTCCTTCAGAGATCTTGCATGGTGTGATGGGAGTCTATAGCTCAGCTTCTTGTGCAGACATTGTTGAGGTGAGATACTTGGTCCACTGTAGTGACAGCAAATCCGGAACAGAACATAAGAAAAAGGCTAAAAAAAATAATAGTCAGTGTCTTATCATTTCCCCCCTTGGGAAGTGGCAGAAGAGTGGCCAGGTAAATAGAGTATCATCCCTGCAGGGTGACATTATCCTGCACAGAATTCGTCCATCACAAGGAGAGGTGGGATATTGCATGGAAAGTCTCAGGTAACCAGGGCAACATTCGACACCAGAGCCTTAACCTGTTAGGGAATAGTAAGAGCTTGGACAGGCTTTGGGGCCTGTATAATTCAGGTAAAGGTATTGGGGGAACTAGCTAGGACCCTTGCCTCTTGGTCAGGTTTCACTGTGTGGAACAAAATAAATAATAAGGTGATAGGGGCCTGCAAGTGGGGGAAGGACATCTGCACCTAGCAGATTAATTGGACAGGTGAAGGTATCCACAAAGCAAGGCTTAGTTAACAGGCTACTCCAAGGAGAGCCATCTACACTTATGCAGGAGACAACAATGTTAGACAGGAATGAGGAGTCAGGCAGGCCTTGCTTGGTACAAATAGATGTCATGTGGCCTGCTATACAAGGCTGCATATAGTTGTTGGGCATGGGCCTTACTATGTACTAAAACTTAAGTTAAAAGAAAATTTGGGACAACCTGAAGTGATGCTTCTCCACAGATGCTAACTCATCGTTGATGACATTGTTAATACAGGTAGCCTGATCAGCCAATTTATCTTAGGCTTAAACAAGTCACACCATGTAGTGGAATGGGTCATTAGGATTCGGGAAATTCTACAGTAAAAGGGCATAGTAAGGATGTACGCGATGTTACTTTAGGAGTAGGCGTGGCTGTGGATAGGGGGAAATCAGCCTTATCCATTCCCATATATTATTCCTTTTGTCTTCAGTATATCCAAACCATGTGTATGTCCAGGCGTTGCAATATACAGTAATCCATTATCAGTCATGATATTAAAATCTCATTCTCATTAATTAAATCAAAGATTTTAAATCAACCTCAGAAGTAACAACATTGTTTTTTACCTTCTGTAAAATGATTGGAGTTACTGTATAATTGCATACACCCAATATAACATACATTGCATGTTCCTCACTGCTACATTAGTGTATTTCATTCTGCCATATTTGCAAACTTGATGTACATTTTTATTTTAATTAATTAACCTAATACTTTCTTAAAATACATATAAAACAATGAAAAAACAGTTCAGACTAACATTTCATTAAAACAAACTAACATAGAACTCTATTCTTGGCTGTTCTTAATTCTGGAATCAGCCTGTGTACCTCTGTTGGCAGACATATCCATGCTCATTCCCTAAACTGATCATATCTCTTGAAGTTATCTGATTCTTATAACTTTCTGTGTTACGCTGCATTGCTTGTCTGTCTCCTAATTTCGATTTAGCTAAAATTGCTTTTATTTGTCTGATTATAAGTTTACAAGGAAAGGCTTTAATTGATTTATCTCCACATGTATTTTCTCTGTCAAAATTTTCAATCAACAAATTTAATTTCTCATTTGCTTTTGATTTGATATCTCGGATAAAATATCTGCAAGATCTTAAATAATGTTGTTTATTGCACCAAAAACAAATAACTTTAGGAGTTATATTCTGCCCTATATTATCAACTGCCCTATATTTAGTTGAATAAATTGGGAGGGGCTCAGCTGTCTGTATCACTCTACACTCTGTCCTAGAAGAAGAAGAAGAAGAAGGGGGACGGGGGCTGTAACATCTGCACTTCTTTCTCTGCCTAAAGCCACAAGTCGTTTTAACCCCTTCATTCTTGGTTTCCCTCCTTAAGTTATCCAAGAACAAAGCTACTTCTGTCAAAGTGCTTTTTTCTCTAGCTACCACAATTGCAGTTGGATCTAGATCTTGAAATTTTTTCACAAATTCATTAATTAACTGATCTTTTGTTTTTTCTTATTAACAAACAATTTCTTGTCAATTTCACTATTGGCAATTTCACATTGTGTGTATAAAGATTGCCACAAAACAGCATCTGAATAGCTGCTATTACATGCAAACTGCAATTTACTTTTCTCTGCGATATCATTTATAAATTCCACAATTCATTTGTTCCAACAAAATCTAACTTTCCTTATTCCAACATGCCAATAACCTCTAGCTTAACAACATATACAAGATTACACAAAGTTCCTAACTAGGTTATTCGTCCAGCAAATATACCTTGTTTCCCTCACATTCCTCACTGAGTTTACAAGCATTTCACCCATTCACCCCACCCCCTGTAGCCAATACTCATAGCAGTCAGAGCAAGAGAAAGCAACAAAGAAGGAGGGGGGAGGAAGACTTGCAAGCACAAAGTTTTTTAACCATGTGATTGCCTAAGCACAGCTCTCCTTAGGACAAAAGATAGAATAGGAGAGTAACGATACAAATTGTATAGATTACAATTAACATATATGGTACCCAACAAGACATACACAGACAAAAGCACAAAATACAGATGTAATTAAATCACAAAGTTCTTAAAATAAATGCCGGCTTATAATAAATCAAATCACACACACACAGAAACACTCAAGCACATAAACCGCTCCTTTACCGAAGCTTAGCTATTTAAACTCTTGACCGAGTTTTAATAAAACAAAGGAACCGCCAGGTTTTTTACCAAACGAGGCCAAAACATCACTCACTAGCTTCTTTACCAAAGCTTAGCTAAAATAATATTTTTTATTTTTTTTTTTAAATTATTTTATTTATTTATTTTTAAACTCTTGACCGAGTCTCGCAATAACTTCTTTACCGAAGCTTAGCTAAAATAAATATAGAGCCAGGGGTTTTCCACCAAACCCGAACTTGGCTAAACCTGCAAGTGCTTAACCACACTTGGCAGCATTATATAACAGTATTAAGCAAGTAGTAAAACAGATTCTCAAACAGACACTTTCACACATAAAACTCTCACTCAGGACTCAGGCTGTAGATAGACAAGTGACAGGTTCTATATAAAAGGGGACATTCGGGCATATATATATTACCTGTCTGAAGACGTTAAACACCGGAAGCCGAATGTGAAGGCACGGAGAACAAGAGAAATCCAAAGAAAGGAAAATATAGGTAAGTAACTCATTTACCATATGCAGAGGTGATCAGGCTCCGTTTCCAATCTCTGGGAATCCTTTGCTCTCCTGTCTTGGGATCTGACGGCTGCCTTAGTAACGTATCCCTTAAATGCCCGCATTCTCCACCAAATTGTTTTGGATCAAAGAAAACTTTGATTATTTGTCTATCTACACCTTCCAAATTGATTAATTAATGCGTGCACGCTTTCCCTAGAAGTAATTCACACCGGAGACAAAGTTTCTGATCAGTGAAAAACCCAGGAATGCTTTATTGCCCGGAGTGGGGGCTCCTTCTTAAAGCAAAAATACGTCACAGTTTAAACATACAGTATACATTCACCAATTGGTTAACAGAGAAGGGGGCCTCTTGTTTAAACCCCCCTACAGAATGTAGTGTCATCATTACACACTTTTAGATACACGGAGAAAGGGGGAGTGAGTGGTATCTATCAGTTCTAAACCAATGATCCTCCATTTAGCTATATATGGCATATAGCTGTTAACTGGCACAAAGGTAGTGGGGGAGGGGAGGCTAGCAGGATGTGAGGAATTTACATAGTAAACAGCAGCTGACCACATTGTAGGGGGGGGGAAGGGAACATTTACTCTAGAAGCCAGTTTTAACATAGTGAACAGAGAATAAATAGACATTAGTAAATAGCCATTTTATTTTAATTCATCTGTCCATAACAGATGTACATTAACACACAAGTTTTACCATTAGGAAGCAGAGTTGATGTTTAGGTAAGGGGACCCTATATGTGATGGCCACCCTGCGGGTTTAGGAGGCAACTGCGGCAAGGTGTGGCATTTCATCCTCCCCTTCTCCGTTACTACCTATAACACATAACTGGAACTTTCCTCCAGGTTTTGATGCCAAAGCACTCCAGATCCAATGCCTAGATTCATGGGCATCCGCAGGAATTTTTGCAGGGGTGATGGGGAGGGAGGGGAGTTTGAGAGGGGGATTATTATAATGACATCCATGTTTGGCCCCTTTTTGACAGTGTCATGAAGTGGAGGGGGATAGTCATTATCACATAAAGCCAGGGTGAATGACGTTTTCACAACTATGGTGTCAGTAATGTATTCCTGACACTATAGTGTACGTTTAATCAAATTAAAGGAATATTATGGTCACCATAACAATTTCCTCTAAATGAAAATGCTATGATGCCAGGAGGCCCCTGGGTGCTCTCTTTCCTTTAAGGGGTTAAAACTCTCTCAAATGGTTTAATCCCAAAGACTTCCTCTAGCTCCAGATCTCCAGGTCGCTCAGTGATATTCAGCTTCTGAAACGGAATGTTTTCCTTGCAGACCTTTCTTGCTCCTTGCTGCCCCTTGTAGCCCTTTGCTGCTCCTTGCTGACTCTTTCTGCTCCTTGCTGTCCCTTCCTGCTCCTTGCAGCCCCTTCCTGCTCATTTCAGCCCCTTCCTGCTCATTTATGTTCCCTTTTGCTCCTTATCCTACTTTACCTTTCTGCTCCTTCTGTCCCTTCTTGCCTCTTGCTGACTCTTTCTGCTCCTTGCTGTCCCTTTCTGCTTATTTCTATTCCTTTCTGCTCCTTCTCCTACATTACCTTTGCACCCCTTACAGCTCCTTTCTACTCCTTGCTGCCATTTACAGCTCCTTGCTGGCCCTTTCTGCTCCTTCTTCTACTTTACCTTTGTGCTCCTTCTGATTCTTTTTGTTCCTTTACCTTTGTGCTTCTTCTGTCACTTCCTGCCCCTTTCTTCTCCTTGCCGCCCCTTCTTGCTTCTTGCTGCCTCTTACTGCTTCTTGCTGCCCCTTCCTGATCCTTGCTGCCCCTTCCTGATCCTTGCTGCCCCTTCCTGATAATTTCTATTCCTTTCTGCTCCTTCACCTACTTTACCTTTGCGCTCCTTCTGCCCCTTCCAGCTCCTTCCTGCCCCTTTCTACTCCATGCTGCCCTTTCCAGCTCCTTGCTGGCCCTTTCTGCTCCTTCTTCTACTTTACCTTTGTGTTCCTTCTGATTCTTTCTGCTCCTTTACCTTTGTGCAACTTTTGTCTCTTCCTGCCCCTTTGTGCTCCTTACTGCCCCTTACTGCTTCTTGCTGACCCTTACTGCTCCTTACAGACCCTTACTGCTCCTTGCAGACACTTACTGCTCATCCCTGCCCCTTCCTGCTCATTTTTGTTCCTTTCTGCTCATTTCTGTTCCTTTTTGCTACTCCTCCTACTTTACCTTCCTTGCTACTTCTGCCCCTTCCAGCTTCTTGCTGCCCTTTTCTGCTCCTTGCTGACCTTTCCAGCTCCTTCTCCTACTTTACCTTTGTGCTCCTTCTGATTCTTTCTGCTCCTTTACTTTTGTGCTCTTTCTGTCCCTTCCTGCTTTGCTGACTCTTCTCTCCTTGCATATCCTTCCTTCTCCTTGCAGACCCTTCCTGCTCCTTGCTGTCCCTTCCTGCTCATTCTTCTTCCTGCTCCTTCTCCTACTTTACCTTCCTGCTCCTTTTCCGACTTTACCTTCCTGCTCCTTCTCCTACTTTACCTTCCTGCTCCTTCTCCTACTTTCTTCCTCTTTTACCTTCCTGCTCCTTATGTCCCTTTTTGCTCATTTCTATTCCTTTTTGCTCCTTTTCCTAATTTAACTTTGCACTTCGTCTGCCCCTTCCAGTTCCTTTCTACTCCTTGCTGCCCTTTCCAGCTCCTTGCTGGCCCTTTCTGATCCTTCTTCTACTTTACCTTTGTGTCCCTTCCTTACCCTTTCTTCTTCTTGCATACCCTTCCTGCTCCTTGCTGACCCTTCCTGCTTCTTGCAGACCCTTCCTGTTTCTTGCAGACCCTAACTGCTCCTTGCAGACCCTAACTGCTTCTTGCAGACCCTAACTGCTTCGCATGGAACTAAAATCGGACACAGAAACTCCAGAACACTGCTGGACTTCCATCATCGCCTGCGTTTGTTTCTATATAACTGTTGTTTTTTTAATGCACAGGTGTGTTTATATATAATTTTGGTGTTTAACAAAGAGG